TAAATATTGATACCAGGACTTTGTCGGTCATTTGATTTCCTCACAAAGACAGTTACTTAACGTGTCGAATGTTTGGCTCTCAATATTTCAGTTCTGCTCCATCCAGAGATCACCAGAGGCGCTGATGCACGTCAAACATCAGCGTGTTCTCTTTTTATCTTCTAACCATGAAACTCAATGCATTTGTTTCAGATTGGTAACTTTTCTCCCTCTTTTATTTATAAATCTCAAAGTTCAGCTTATGAAACACGGTGAAATTTTAAGTAATGCCCAGTTGTTTATTTTAAAACGTTAGTCTCTGCAGAGATAAATATTAAAAACAGACATTTTCTGCACAGGAACAGCCCTCCATCATCCCTGAGATTTCCTAAATTTATCTTGTGTTGCCGATGGGCAGAACTTGTCCTGAAATTGGTGCGAAATGTCCCACTCACACACTCAGAGCGCCCGGCGAGTCAGAAGTGTCTGCTGCTGATGTCGATAAAGTTTCCAGCCTGAGGAAAAGCCTCCTGAGCTGTGGACTGACTGGACCTGGAGCTCTCTGCAGGCTGTTGTCACCTCTATAACGTGACCTGTTGTCTGGGATGCAAAATGACGAGGAGGAGCAGCCAAGGAGAAAAGCAGGAGACTCCCACTTCCTGTCCAGTTTAAGTGATCTGCAGCTTCCTGTTGCAAAGCAAACAAAACTCTTTAGACTGCAGATGCTCATCATCCGTTCATTTCTTCAGACATTTCTGAAGCACCTTTACTAGTTTGCCTCACAACAAACCTCAAGTTACATCTTGTTTAGTAGATTTAACATTTTTTCTAAGAAATGGTCTACATCCATGTCAGTTTTAACATGTTAACATCCAGATACACACAATAGGCAATCCAGTATAATCCAATGAGAAGCTAAAAAACTCACCCTTTCATCCAAACTCCTATGGTTGCAAAGTAGTGCATTTAGATAATCATTCGACAGGAAATATATCTGGATCATATAAAAAGAACATATTTTCCCATTTTGTATTTTTTGTTTCAAATCCGGATCTTGTTTTTTTATATTTTTTTCCAGAAGATTCACTTGACAAAGTAAGTGATTTGCAAATTTGAGCTGAAGCTACAACCAAGCCTTTTTTTTTGACAAATCAAAGCTGGAGTACATAGTTAACATTTTCAAATGAGCTTCAAAGATTCTTAAATGTGATTGTCTGACCCTGTTCTATGATAAAACATGGTTAATCATATATTAAGTCCCTCCCTTGGCCTCTACAGCAAAAAAAAATCATTTACGTGATCCTAGAGCATTGACCAATAGAGTTGCATATCCTCACGAGGGAGCTGTCAATCATCAAAAATGCACTCCAGTTCCCAGCATGCACTGTGGGGTGACACACTCACACCAAGTCAGTGTAGCACATTACCCCATGCCTGTCACGGTTTGGGTAGGGCTGGGCGATATGGCAAAAATAGAATATCACGATTTTTCCAATATTTTATCACGATTTCGATTTTATCACGATTTTTTTATCCATGAATAGCATAACTTCAATTGCGTATTAAAGAAGAGAAACATTGAATAAACAAACATTTATTCATATTAGGGATAATCAACACAGTGCTAACACACTTATATTTAAAACTCACACCAGAGATGATAAAAGCCCTGAGAGAAACAATTACAAAAATCAGTTTTCTCGTTTCTCAAGTAACTTAACATAAATTAAAATCGTAAACATATTTAAAGTGCAAACATGTCAATTGCAAACGTATTGTGCAAACATGAACTTGTTCAAAATACTATGTAGCTCCCAGTTGCTCTTGTAGTGGATAGTTAAGCTCAAATATGGCTCTGATGTGCGGCTGGACCAGAGATCACTTGTGGTAGCAAAAAACTGCGCATTCTGAATATTTTCTGCAACTCTCACTTTGCATTCAGCGTACATGCGTGGAATCAATCAATCAATCAATCAATCAACTTTATTGTCACTTCAGCCATATACGGTTTGTATACAGTGAGGCGAAACAACGTTCCTCCAGGACCAAGGTGCTACATGCAACATAAATTTACAACATGAAAAAATATAAGAAAAATAAACTATCTAATTAAGGAATGGTGGTGTTCGAAAAATACTTGCGGCTGGAAAACTCATAGCGCAGATCCAATGTTATCATTTTCTTAAATCCCACTCCTACTGTTCGCACGGGACACAAATCTTTAACCAAGTGGTACGTCACTGCATCTGTCACGCTGTTCCATCGTCTGCTGTCTCTGTCGTAAGGAGTGAGTTTTGTGAGTGTTTCTGTTAGCGTTTGCTGCCTGGAAGAAGCACTAGCCGCTGCAGCCGCAGGCTTTTTAGCTTTAGCTGCCAGCTGCTCTCATTGTATTGTTTGGGATGCCTTCTTTTCAAGTGATTAAACAAGTTTGTGGTGTTGCCATCACTTGCCTTGACGCTCTCCTTGTAAATGACGTTTCGCTGCTCTTTGTCATCTGGTGAAAAACCAAACCAGTTCCATATAATGGACGAGGCGTTCCTCTTCGGAACGAAAACCTCGTTGTCGCGCTCAGCTGCGGCCGAAGCCATGTTTGTTCACACAAAGGTGAAAACAAGTGGGGCACTAATATATTGCTATGACTCACTCTGATTGGTTAAGGGTCAAACAAAGGCGTGTCATTCGCCTGAGGTAAGTTCCCTTTTCATTCAGAGGCAGAATTTCAACAGCAGAGCTGTGAATCGTGATAAAATGGTCTCTCAAAAATGACAGACCGTCAGATGTGTAGATCGTAAAACGGTCTAAAATCGTCATATCGCCCAGCCCTAGTTTTGGGTTTAAAGCTGTGGTTCACTAAAGAAACATTTTTAATTATTATTTTTGATTATAATCAACTCGACATGAAAATAGTCTCCTACATCTGTCTCCTGCATTAGCTTCTGATAGAAAAAAGACGGTGAAACTCTAGGATTAGAAAAGCCAGACAGATCTACGTCACTCTGTCACCTAACCCTGTCACGTTTAGGAGCAGGAGGTTAGGACCCAAGATGCAGAACCCAGGATGACAAGAGGCAGGAGTGGATATGCAAGTAAAAATCCTTTATTTGGAGGAAGAACAAAAATAAATCCAAACGGCAGGGAGCCAAAATCCAAAAATCCAGGGAGTCAAAAGGCACAAGAGGGACGAGCAGACTGACAGAACAAATAACGCTGACAAACAACAATGGACCGACAAGAACAATGAGACAAGGAGAGCTAATATAGACAGGGAGGAGCAATTAGGGAAACAGGAAGCAGGTGTGTGGATTGAGGCTGGAGGCAGGTGACAACAATTATCTGGATGGGGAAGAGAACCAGTGGAGGGCAGATAAACCTAACACTATGTAAAACACAAAACTAAACCTAAAGACTAAGGGAAGAACTCACACAAACACATACACATACTGAGACACAGAAAACTATGAACTGGGGAACAAGAGGCTGTGGCTATAAGACACACAACAGAGATGCAGACAAAGGACACATGAGGGCGCTAAGAGAACACAAAAGGGAATCCAGAGAGGGATGGAGAAACATTAGGAGACACATGGGGAAAGACGCAGACAAAGGACACATGAGGGCACCATGAAACACAAAAGGAGAACCTGGCGTGGGAACTGGAGGGCTGGGGAACAAAGGGACACAGAACATGACAAACCCATCTTGACTCGCGATGGAGAAAGCCATTGTTGGTTTAGCATCCAGTAAACAGCAGAGAACATCTTGGCTACTAGAAGCTAAACCTTAGCATTAGCATCTCCACCACACGTTAGAACTCCTCCAGGCTTGTGTTATTTGTGGAGATAAAACATCACCGTTGCAGACCAAACAGAGTCAGTGGTAGAGTCGTGTTGCTGTTAGCCAGTCTGAGGTGAGATGTCCAAATAAGACTCACTGCTAGATCCTGTAACAGGTACACCCATCGACATATATACTGGACAATTCCTTTCCATAGGCTCCAATAATAAGTTTTTAAGCCAAAATGGGAGGTGGCCACTAGAGCCCTGCACTGAAGCCCTAGGCCCTCGGGTCAGCCCGGCCCAACGGCCCGAGGGCCGGGCTTCGGGCCAACGACTGTGTAATTACCTCAGACACGGGCCGGGCGCCTTTATTTTTAATTGACTTCATAAAAAAACCTGAAACACTTGAACGCAGCAGCACCTGCCTGCTTCTCACGCACCGTTAGCTCAGTTAAGGTCTGTGTGGTTTATAAATGCGCCTATATAAACGAATTCTCAAACTGCTGCTTGAAACATGTGCCCCTATTCTAATATGCCACTTTATGTCCACTTTGATATGTCAGAAACCATTCGTTTACTCTCATGAAAACGGCAGCATTCTATTTTTTGTGAATAAATTCGCTCTGCAGTTAAAAAAAATACAGCATTCATTGCTGTTTTTTTTCTAACGGAGAGCGCATTTTCAGAGCGGCAGATTAAATTTACAAATGCTAATTGGGGCGTTTATTTAATCTGCCGCTCTGAAAATGCGCGCTGCAGTTAGACAATTAGAATGCTGCTTTTTTTCTAATTGCACAAGAGCGCATTTTCAGAGCAGATTAAATTTACAATTCCTCCAACAGAATGATGTAGATATTCATCCATCCCAAACCTGCTTTGTTGGAGCTAACTTCTGTGAGTCGTTCCTTACGCCACCTACTATTTAGGAACAGGTGTGATCATACGACGAGACTGAAAGTTTCTCCTTCTCACATGCCCACAATTATGGTGATTAAACAAGTATTACAGTGACAATAAATAGTTACTAATATAATTAACCCTCCCACTGTCTATGGATGACCCCTCCAGGAACGTTGACCATTGAGCAGGATTGATGGTTTATCCCATGAGGTCCACGTGACAGGAGCAAGGACCACCTCACCCCTGTCACCCATGAAGACAGTGGGAGGGCTAATTGTTCAGTTATACTAGTTTTCACATTTTGTAGCATTCATTCACTTTTAAAAAACAAACAAATCATTTATATAAAGTAGTGGAAAGATAAAAATTTATTTAGAATTAAATGATAATTATTGCAGCAAAAATACAGAAATTTTATTGTTTCTACCAATCATATAAATGTCATGAAAATCCACCTGAAAAAAGGTCACAATCAGATCTAAACCGGAAATTATTGAACAAAACATTTGTTAGTGATATGCTATGATTTATGGTTTAATTCCATAACAAGACTAAGTATGAGGCTGATATAGTTAATATCTTAAGGAATCAAAATGTTTTCTCAAACACAAAATTTTCCAGCTAGCAGAAAAAACTAAATTCCCAAATTGCTTAAAATGTTTTTATGCAAGGACCTTAAAGTGGTGCAAAGTCTGTTAAAGGATGGTTTTGTCAGACCAAAACAAAACATAACAATGCATTTGTTAGTTATTTAATTTCTTCTTAAATCTCCAAATTTCATTTGTACTTTCTCAGTTTTCTCCCTTTTTTCTCTTTGAAGTCCAGAGTTAAAGTGTTGGTGTGAAGATTCTCCAGGTCACTGTGCCCTTAAGAGTTGAAAGGAAAGAAAAGTGGAATTTTAAGAATAATAAAAAATCCCACTTTTCTTTTATTCTAACAATAAGAACTACATAAAAGCTGTGACACATTTCCTGCACATGACCTGGTCTGAGTGACGACAAACAGGAAGGTCTTTTGTTTTGGACTGAAGGCAAATCTAGAAGAAAACAAAGTCTGCAAACATCATCAATCAGGCTGTGGGTGATGAAACACCTGGTTGGCACGGTTACGACAGATTTATGAAACAATGACAATTAAACTGTCTTCCAGATGAAACTGGCACAAATGTTAAGTCAGAAAACTGTTCTCTAGAGTTTTCATTAGAGCTGCCATTTAGCCACCGCGATCTTCATGGGCAAGATCTTCATCTGGTCCCAGGGGCTGACCCAAGGATACATCTTCTCTGTGAACGTGTGTTTGAAGACATGAATGTAGGTGTCAGTGTCTGGATTAGAGAACGACAGCTTTCCTCTTTTCCAGTCCAGATTCACTCGGATCTTCTGGAGTTTCTTCAGCACCAAGAGCTCCGTAGGTGCAGCCGTTGGAGACCACGCTGTGTATTTCCCTCTATCTAAATAAATGGCCCACAACCCAGAGTCCACGTTCCCTTTCCTACGGGCAGTCTCTGCCAACACACCGAGGCCCCAGCGTAGACTGTGTCCGACCTCCACGTCCCAGGAGTGGCTCCCTGAGTCGAAGCCCTCAGAACTCAGAACCGAGCTTAAATCATCGAACCTCTCCGGATTATCGGGAAGCAGCTGTTTCTCTTCCAGCCTCACGCTGGTCAGATCTTCAGACAGGATGAGTTTTGGATGAGCAGTGTTTGGGTCCAGACTGAGGGGCGCGTAGGAGACCAGGTCCTTCATGTTGTGCCAGATGTTGAAGGCCAGGTTGCTGAGATGTTTGGCCTGGTCTATCAGGGCTCCTGAGGGCATGTGTGGGTCATCTAACAGGGGGCAGCTCTGCACTCGTTCCACTTCTTTCTTGTAGTTGTGTAGAAATGAGATGTCTTCACTTTCCAGTTTCTCCTCGGTGGCTCTGACCATGTCTGACATAACTTCTACCTCTATGCTCAGAGCCTTCACCATCTGCTGCATGGCACCAACCTTCTGCTCCTCTTCCTCTCTCACAGCAGCCAGCCTGGACTCCTCTTCCTCCGTTAGGAACTGGTGAAGCTTCCTGAACTGCTCTACGATCTGCCTCTTCGTCTGCTTGGCCTGGACTTTTATGTGTTCTGCTGTTTCAACAAACTTCTTCTTCTCTTTCCTCCGGTGCTCCAGCTTCTTCTTTAAGGGCCTCATGAATCTTTTCAAATCCTCCCTGTGGTCCTGCGCAGCTTCGTCGATGGGTCTGAATCTGTGTTTGGAGTGTATCTTTGAGTCTTTACAGACAACACACACAGGCTGCTGATGGTCCAAGCAGAAGAGTTTGAAATCCTCATTGTGCAGAGCACAGAGCGTGCTGGAAGCCTTCTGAGCTCTCTCCTTAAAGTTCTCATAAGGTTTCTCCAAAGCCATTTAATCTGAGGAGAGATGAAGCACAGCAGTCAGACGCCACTCTACTGCTTCCTCCACTCAAACGGATTTGTGTTTTTGGACAGACTCACCTCCAGTGAGCAGCTTGAAGCACTAGTTCTTGTGGTTTTCTACTTTTCGCCTCTGCTGGAATCAGAAGAAACTCTTAGTTTGGTCCGACGGTGAATCTGATCACCTGTGAATCCTCTTGGAGGCAGGAAGAAACACAAACTGTTTCCTGGTTTATCCCAGGGAGTTTCTGAGCTTTGCCTGGTGTCTTCTGATAAATTATGTCGCCTTATCTCCTGAAGTGTGTTTCACTCCAGGGTTTAAAGTTCAGCCTGCCTGCAGCTCTGTAAGTTACTGATAAGTGAGATTTATATTTTTATTTGCTCAGTTCAGGTTATTCCTATGAAGACAGAAACTTTTTACAGCCTGTAAAAAAATAACAAGAATAAAAAAAGTGCTCTGATCCTTTCAAACCTGATTTCCTGGCTGTTGTGTAACAACACACCTGTAGATAAATGCAGCAAAGCTCCGTTTCTGCCTCCGTCCTTCTCACGTCAGGCGGGGACTCAGAATAAATGACACCTCAGGTCTCCCCGGTGTGTGTCAGGAGCAACAATCAGCTGTGTGTGAAACTAGATGGAAGCTCCGAGCTGATCAATCAGTCGGCTTGTCTGTTGGCACCTTTGATCTAAACTAAAATGATGTGTGAAGTTACTCCTTAGAAGATGTTCAGAAGAAACATGAATGATGAGTTTGTGTTGCAGCAAACGCTGTGAATTACTACATGGAAGTCTCACAAAGAAAAGTGGCATGAAGGACAGAACTCAGCTTTAGAAAACACAACGAAATGATTTTAAATAAAAAACAAAAAGGTCTGACAGACGAACACGTAGGGGGTGAAATGAGGGATGTGAAGAAAATCCGCCTCAGACATTTAGATTCAAAATAAAATGTAATCAACACACGTACACACACACACACACACACACACACACACACACACACACACACACACACACACACACACACACACACACACACACACACACACACACACACACACACACACAGTCCTGATGTGAGGATTAATAGAGGAAGCTGCTGAATACAGTAGCTCTGTGGTGTGTGTGTGTGTGTGTGTGTGTGTGTGGGGGGGGGGGGGGGTTTAGAGATTGGTAGAATTAATGACATCTGTCAGTGTTTGTAGGTGTGGCTGCACAACCGCAGATAGATCAAAGATCAAATCAGCAGACTTGTGCAGAGGGAATGATGGGTCATCATGTCAAATATCAGTTTCATGTTCAGAGGATGGAGCGACTAAATTCATCAATACCTGACATGAGTCGTGATTAAAGGATTGCATTCACCTATTGTCTGGAGCGACGCGACAGCTGACATTCTGACAGCATCTCTTATTCTTTTGAGTACACGGAGACTCAAAAAACACACTCAGAGTTAAATTAGAGTTCAAATGAGCTGCAGCTGCGGCGGATCTGCATCACAGCGCACGTGTCTGAAGGATTGGGTGGGTTCAACTGTAAAAAAAACCTCAAAATGTAAAAGGAGAAAAAACACATTGGTTGAATAAGAGGTGTGTGTGTGTGTCCTCGAGAATCCTCCAGACAGTGTATAAAGTGTGGGTAAATGTGTTAAGCTCCGTCGGTGTGACTGCACCGTCAGCTCAATATCTGTCACCTGCTTTCTCTTCAAAAACAATCAAGTTTGTGAAACAGGCAAGAAAAGTAACAAATTTCATTTTTTTAAGCAACTGAATAGAAAAATAGCTGAAATGAGGAATATAATATAAAGTTGGCACAAAATGTAAATACAATCTGGAGACCGGAGGAGCTTGGGGCTGAAGCTGTGAACACAAATGGAAAAGCTAAGAAAACATAATAATTTGCATGAAAAAGGACAAACGGAGTCATTTTCTGCATTTAAAAATCTTTTTGAGCTCAGAGTCTCATCTCTTATGTAAAACCACCAGCATGTGTGTGTGTGTGTGTATGTGTGTGTGTGTGTGTGTTTGTAGGCTTTTTAATCCACAAACACAAAGGGAGAGAATGACCTGGATTCCTTTAATTAGTTTTCTGCACCATTCAAATATTAATCACAAATTCTTTGAACTTTGATCTTCCGTGAACCATTTGATATGGATGATGTGTGAAAATTAATCACCTATAATAAATATAACCTTCTTTTCTGACCTAAAATAAAACAACATAAAGTTTCTTCTTTTGCAAAAAGAAGAAAACTGATATCAGAACTCTTTATTCAGTCTCATTAATGCAATCCTTCTGCACAAAACAGATGTATATTAAATATGTTATATGGTAAAAACTCTCGACCCACATCAGCCTTTTAAATAAACATTCTAGTTTAGCAACTTAAAATATTCAGTCACTCCATTTTGTTAAAAATCATCTTTTCTCTCTACTTTTTGCCTGATTTTGTGAAAAAGCTGCAACATAGCCAGAATCAGCATTTAGTACATTTCTATCTCAACCACGTTACCATAATGTCTAACTCTGGTGTTTCTGCAGCCAAGCTGTTGGTAAGATCTGAAATTTGAATTTTTGAGCCCAGTGTTTACCCAAGAGGTCCAGATATCTTCGGTTCAAACACTCCGAATTTTCACAGGAACATTTAAAGAGTCAGGAGTGAGCGTGCCCAGGTCATCGGCATCGCCTCAGTCTTTGATTCTTCTCCCCTGGCAGGTGATGGTGAGCTATTCCCTCCTGAGGCCAGTTTGCCTTGAAAGATGAGTCTTATGCTCCCCCGGATCGTACTCCTAACATAACCCACTCCCAGTCTGAGGTCACAGCTCTCACCTGGAAAAAAGTGTGAAGCACTCCCTCTGGAGTGAGAGGGAGCCTTTGCCGTGAGGCGCTGAGTTACAGTAAGAGTATTTTGGTGTCTTGTTCATGGGTGAAGGCTAAATTCTAGTGGTGATGAGCTTCAATGTAGCCATAGATGGCCTGGGGTGCACTGACATAACTGAGGCTGCAATTTGCTTGTGTGTATGTGTGTGTGCATGTGTGTGTGTGTGTGTGTGTGTGTGTGTGTGTTCAGTGTATTGAAGTCTGAGGTTGTTGAGTGCTCCCATGGGACCACTCCATCATGCTGCCTGCCTGCAATTAGCAGCAGTCCTGATGGCAAGACAGTGACTGATGAAACAACACATCATGGATGGACACACACACACACACACACACACACACACACACACACACACACACACACACACACACACACACACACACACACGCACGCACACACACACACACACATCTGTCTTTCTATCATAGTGAGGACACTCCATTGACTTCCATTCGTTTTTGTGACTCTACTATGCCTAACCCAGGGATCGGCATCCAGTGGCTCTGGAGCCGCATGCGGCTCTTTCATCCATCTGATGCGGCTCTCTGCTTGTAAACTAATTAATATTTCTTTACAATGTATTTTATTTTACTGTATTCATTTTTTATCTGTTGCCAATTCTAAAGTTAAAGATTGTCTGCGTAAACCTGAACAGGTCACCTGCTTGTGCGTAATCAAATCTCTCTATAGGCGCTTTCTGAGCTGAAGAGGATATGAGATTCTGGACTGTTCCTCAGACAGGCTCGTGGATGCATCACAGTGGATCAAGCGCCATTCAGCCAAAGATTCATAATCAGGGAACATTTTTTAAGTGACAAGTCTCTGAGAGACCGGGTTTAGAAAACACAGAATCTTCCTGCATGGTTCTGGTTCTGCGACGCGCTCCAAGCCCCCGATCTATCTTCAGCTCTTTGTCCACCTTACGCATGCGCTGACAGCGAGCTGCACTGAGCTCAGTGTCCTTCTCAGATGTTCTGATGATGGGAATCTTATCCTGGTTGATGTAGCTACCTCCACGATGTGCGTAACGACTAAAATGTCAGCGCATCTGCAGGCTTGAGAGTTCTCCGTCAAAATAAACAATCAAATGGCTACGGAAAACATCCAGTCAGTGGAACAGCTGTCACTGAACTGTTTTACCTTCTTGTGAAGATTGTTGCAAAAAGAAACATTAAACCTGATTAACACCAGAGCCACGCACACTGCGTCGTTATCTCCGTCAGTGTAAATGAGGGAGAAAAAAACTAATTGATTAGATCCTTTTCTTACCTTTTCAACAATGTTTAATGCAGAGTTTAGTTCAGTACAAAGTTTAATTACAAAAGTCCAACGAGACAGAGCCTGGCTTGTATTCTGAACAGTCATGTGTGACGCCTCAAAAAGCGTGACCTGCTCAACTATTAAAACCACTAGCAGGGTGAAAAATATCGAAATATTGTAGCACATACAACTTTTGGATCAATTTTATACAAACTGTTTTATTAATTATCTTCTGTTGAAAGATAACTTTGAGCGACTGGTATTGGTTGCTGTCAACTGTTGTGATCAGTTAAAGCAGCTCTTTGCTGTCTGAGGGTAGGCCCTGCCCACAACGCCGCGGCTGCTGCGGCTCCCAGTGTTTTCTTTACTGTGGGAAATGGGTAATAATGACTCTTTGATGGGAACAGGTTGCCGACCCCTGGCTTAACCCATACCCTAACCATACCCATAATCAATGCTGACCTACTCCAAACCCTAACCTTAACTAAAACTCAAATCACACCAGACCTCTAAAACCAACTGGTAAGCTTTTAAAAGAAGTGAGGACCAACAAAATGTCTTCACTTAGAAAAATGTCCTGACATTGTAGGGAAAAATGATTAAAATGGTCCTCAGTATGTAGTAAGTACAAGAACACACACACACACACACACACACACACGCACACACACACACACACACACACACACACACACACACACACACACACACACACACACACACACACACACACACACACACACACCAGAAGTACTTAATCAGTCACTTCATTAGCACTGATGCTAGCAATTAGCATCAGCGCTAATGACAGCCGCTGATGGAGAATGCACCCACCCACACACAACAAACCTACTTCATTATTTTCTCTGCTAGCAATTAGCAGTCTTGAGAGTAAACAGTTGCACCAACACAAACATATATCTGTGAGGAGTTTAGACAACGAAAATGAAGCCAGTTACTCTCAGAAACAAGTTCACCCTGCAGAAGGTCACTGTGGATGACAACTCCCCACTTTCCACTCGTAATTCTTCTTTTCAGTTGCTTCCATATTAGTTTGACTAAAATCTACATTATCTTTGACAGAGGCAAGCATTTTAAAACATACTTCAATAGACTATTACCATCAAAGAGAAGGATGTTAGCTGGTTGTTTAACACAAAAGGTGGGAAAAGCCACAGGTTCTCGTCTCAGCATGAGTTTGAAAACATTGCTGGGGTGAAATACCAGCAGTCTGCAAACATTTGCAA